TGAAATGATACAAAAGTTACGAAAAGATTTTAAAAAGAGTTTCAATTGTTAGTACAATAATTATTATTCAATACCTAGATTATGTACTCTTTGTCTCTTTCTAATATTTGTATTGTACAATTTATTTATTTGAATAAATATACGGCTATTCGCCTTGATTTTTTTAAAAATAATCTCTTAGATTTAATCCAAGTCATTTTAGAAATTTAATTTTCAACTATTTTAATATTAGTTTAAAGTTTAAACTTTAATATAAAATTGAATTTTAAGGTTTAAACTTTAAATTCAATATAAACTTTAAACTTTAAAGTCAATTTTAAACTTTAAATTCAATATAAAGTTATAAACTTTAAAATTTAAAGTCAATTTTAAAGTTTAAAGTTTAAAGTTTAAAGTTTAAACTTAAATTCAATTGAAACTTTAAAGTAACTTTAAAGTTTAAAGTTTTAAATTGAAGTTTTTTAATAATATAATTTTATTAATTAATAATATAATATTATATAATAATTAAAGTTAATAAAAAAATAAAATAAAATTACCGGTACACAATGATCCGGTAAGAACCGGTTCCGGTCCGGTCCAAACCGGTTCCAATCCGGTAACAAAAGGAACCGGACGGAACCTTTGGAAATTTTCGGTAAAACCGGTTCCGGTAAGACCGGTTCCGATAACAAAATGCGGTAACGAGGACCGGTTCCAGTCTCAACTTTGTTGGAGAGATCTTTTTCTTGAGAATTTTTTAGCCCCTCTCAAAAATTCTGTCCCAGTTTCTATTGTAAAGAGAAATAAAAACCTTACGGGAGATATGACCGAACCCTTGTGGCGCCTACGTATCCCGTTGAAGCAGGAATTAGGTCAAACGTAGTTCCCCTCAAGGATTAATCAAAAATAAGAAAATTACAAAGAAACCGCTCGAGGCCGACGTAGGCCACCTACGTATCTCATTCTTGAGAATTCAGGTCAAACGTAGTTCAAATATAAAAAAATATTAAAAGGGGATAAAGGGGTGACCGAGGCCGACATAGGCCGCCTACGTATCTCATTGTTGAGAATTCAGGTCAGACGTAGTTCATTACATAGGGATAGATTCTAAACAATGCAATTACAAGCAAAAAGAACAATTACAAAGAGATTATAGAAACACAAACTGAAGCTTCACACATAGTATCTCTTGACAGCATCTGAGTTGATTGGTTTTGGCCATTCGGTGCCATCCATCTCCGAAAGGATCAAGGCACCTCCAGATAACACTTTGTGAACCATGTAGGGTCCTTGCCAATTTGGTGCAAATTTCCCTTTGTACTCATCCTGATGAGGGAAAATGCGTTTGAGAGCCAACTGGCCGATTTTAAATATCCTGGCTCTTACCTTCTTGTGGAAAGCACGAATCATTCTCTGTCGATAGAGTGTCCATGACAAACAACAATCATTCTCTTCTCATCAATCAATGTTAGCTGATCAACCCGCTTGCGAACCTATTCAACATCACTCAATTCAGCTTCTTGGATGATTCTCAATGAGGGTATTTCAACTTCCACATGTATAACTGCTTTTGTTCCATATACTAACAAATATGGGGTAGCTCCAACTGACGTTCTGACGGTCGTTCTGTAACCCAATAAAGCATACGACAGCATCTCATGCCAACCTCTGCGATTATCAATCATTTTCCTCAAAATCTTCTTTATGTTCTTGTTGGCGGCTTCTACAGCTCCGTTCATTTGGGGACGATAGGCGGTTGAGTTCCGATGAGTAATCTTAAATTGTTCACATATCTCTTTCATCAATGATTGTTAAGATTTGCTCCATTATTAGTAATGATGGATTCCGGTATTCCAAATCTACATATCAAATTGTTGTGAACAAAATCAGCTATAACTTTCTTGGTCACCGACTTGTACGAAGCTGCTTCCACCCACTTGGTGAAGTAGTCGATGGCAACCAAAATAAATCTGTGTTCGTTAGAGGCGGCTGACTCTATTGGACCAATGACATTCATGCCCCAAGCTACAAATGGCCAAGGTGAACTCATAGCATTAAGTTCGTGAGGCGGCACTCGAATCAAATCACCATGCACTTGACATTTATGACATTTCTGCACAAACTTGCAACAATCATGTTCCATAGTCATCAAAAATAGTCGGCTCGAAGGATCTTTCTCGCCAAAGTGAGCCTATTCATGTGAGTACCACAAACTCCAGCATGTATCTGTTCCAGAAGCTTTGCAGCTTCGTTAGCATCAACGCATCTGAAAAGGCCTAAATCTGGAGTCCTCCTATAAAGGATTTCTCCGCTTGCAAAGAAATTCAGGGCCATACGGTGTATCAGTTTCTTCTGGTTGAACGTTGCATTCTCAGTATAAGTCTCGTCCTCTAAATACTTCTTGACGTCAAAATACCAAGGCAGACCATCTGGTTCCGCTTCAACATGCGAACAATGGATAGACTGCTCTTTTACCTCTATATCCACTGGATCAATATAACTTGTATCTGGATGTTTAATCCTTGAGGCAATGGTGGCAAGAGCATCAGCCATCTCATTCTGCGACCTGGGAGTGTGTCTGAACTCAATCTTGCGAAATCTTATGCACAACTTCTGTATATACTGCACGTACGGTGTGATCTTTGGGTTCTTTACTGCCCATTCTCCTTGAACCTGATGAATCAGCAAATCTGAATCTCCAATAACCAGCAACTCGTGAACATTCATATCAATTGTCATCTTCAAACAAAGGATACAAGCTTCGTACTCTGCCATGTTGTTCATGCAATCAAATCGGAGTTTAGCTGCCATAGGATAGTGTTGACCAGATTCTGATACTAAGACCGCTCCGATTCCTTTCCCTTGATGATTTGCCGCTCCATCAAAGAATACTCTCCAACCAGGGTACGCTTCAGAAATTTCCTCACCCACAAATGCTATTTCTTCATCGCGAAAGTAAGTCTTGAGTGGTTCATAATCTTCATCAACTGGATTCTCTGCAAGATGATCAGCCAAGCTTGTGTCTTTATTGCCTTTTGAGTCACATACACAATGTCAAACTCACTCAAAAGGATTTGCCATTTGGACAACTTCCCGGTCGGCATTGCTTTCTGGAAAATATATTTCAACGGGTCCATCCTGGAAATAAGGTATGTGGTATAAGAAGACAAATAATGTCTCAATTTTTAGCGATCCAAGTCAAAGCACAGCATGTTCTCTCCAAAAGAGTGTAACGAGCCTCATATGTAGTGAACTTTTTGCTCAAGTAATAAATGGCTCGCTCTTTCTTCCCAGTTTCGTCATGTTGACCAAGCACGCATCCTAATGCATATCTGAGATAGACAAATATAGCAATAACAGACTCCTCTCTCGCGGAGGGACCAACACCGGCGGATTGGACAAATAGTTCTTGATGTAATCAAAAGAAGTTTGACATTCTTCGGTCCACTTGGTCGAGACATCTTTTTTCAATAACTTAAAGATGGGCTCACACACCACGGTAGATTGAGCTATGAACCGGCTGATGTAGTTCAACCTTCCTAAAAAACTCATCACCTCTTTCTTAATCTTCGGAGGAGGTAATTCCTGGATCGCCTTGATCTTGGAAGGGTCAAGCTCAATGCGTCTTCTACTAACTATAAACCCCAACAACTTGCTAGCCGGTACTCCAAAAGCACATTTGGCGGGATTTAACTTCAAATTGTATCGGCGTAGACGATCAAAGAATTTCCTCAAGTGAGTCAAGCGATCCAAACTTTCGTGGGACTTGATTATAACATCATCTACATACACCTCGATCTCCTTATGAATCATATCTTTAAAGATGGTCGTCATAGCCCTCATGTAAGTAGCACCGACATTTTTGAGACCAAATGGCAACACCCGATAATGATATACACCCCAAGGCGTAATGAAAGCTGTCTTTTTTGCATCTTCTTCATCCATCAGGATCTGGTGATAACCCGCATAACAATCTACAAATGACTGCATCTCATGCTTAGCACAATTATCAATGAGGATATGAATGTTTGGCAATGAGAAATTATCTTTCGGACTAGCTTTGTTGAGATCTCTGTAGTCAACACAAATTCTGATTTTTCTGTCTTTCTTGGCAATCGGAACAACGTTAGCCAACCAAGTCGGATACTGCGTCACTTCTACTACTTGTTACTCGATCTTCTTTGTAATCTCCTCTTTGATCTTCAAACTCAACTCAGGCTTGAACTTCCGAGTCTTTTGTTTTACTGGACTGAAATCTGGATTGATCGACAATTTGTGGGACACCATATTCGTACTCAACCCTGGCATGTCTTTATAAGACCAGGCAAATACATCAATGTACTCCCTGAGCAAACGAACTAGGTCTCTTCTTTGGGCTTCAGTCAGATGGACACTGATTCTGACTTCTTCGACACATTCCTCATCCCCGAGATTCACAGTTTCAGTTTCTTTAATATTTGGCTTGTGTTGATTCTCGAATTGTCGAAACTCTTCAGCAACATGTTCAGGTACCTTATTTTCCTCTTCGTCTTCCTCGCACTCATTATTACCTGCCTCATTTTGTTCACTCGTTCATGGCATACATGACATTGACAGGTTTTAAATTATTATTACTAAAATCATAAACAAACAAAGTTAGAAAAGTAAAATATAAACAGATAAATAAACATTTTTTGATAAAAGAGGCTTTCATTTAAATTGAAAAAACAAGCACAAACTTTAGCCATGGCCGAGGGCCATTTTGCTTTTTTAAACATCACAAGGGAATTTAAAAACTTCAAACAAATAAACTGCATAAAGGGTCTCGGGCCTCTTCCGAACTACCACCGATTTTAAAATAAACAAAGACACATGTCTTTTCTACCCAGATGAGCGGGAAATCAGGAGTGGTGTGGAGGTCCAGTTCTGCAATCGCTCCTCACGTTTTGCATCACGGATGCCTGATGTCCCAGCCTCTTCCTCGATGACCGCATCAATCTCCTCAAAAAGGCCCAGATTCCTTCCCCGAGACCACCATTGTTGACATTTTCTCGTACCGGAAATGATTGGTACATATGAGGAATTGGCCTGGCCAATGCTTGATCAACACCTTGTTCTTCATCTCTACTTCGTCGTCTGTTGGGACATATCCCAAACCAAACTTTGCTCCTTTGGCGGGAATTTGGATAGGCTCGACAATTCCTTGAAAGTGTTTCCCCAATCCGAAACCTGGTTCGAAACCATTCTGGAGCATGACAGTAGCAATCATCTTATACACGGCAGGCATAGGAGGCTGTGGAGCCAAGTCATCACCGGTGGCATTTACCAGCTCCACCGTGTAGAAATCACAACCTCGAGAGACATCATCAGCGATCGGTGCATACCCATTGGAATGACTCCCTTCACCATAAATGACCAATTCCTGGTCCTTCCAAACAAACTTCATTAGTTGGTGAAGGGTAGAAGACACAGCCCCAGCCATATGAATAAACGGTCTTCCCAGAAGCAAGTTGTAACTGGTGTTGATATCCAACACCTGGAACTCCACATTAAAATCCGCAGGACCCACCTGAATATCCAAGTTTACCGCACCCAATGTGTCTCTTTGCACTCCATCAAAGGCCCTCACATTGACTTGGTTTTGGTGAAACTTTCCCAAGTCGAATTTCAGCTGCCTCAAAGTCGAAAGTGGGCAAATATTAAGACCGGATCCGTCATCGACCAAGACGCGATTAATTATCTTTCTCGACACATACAGGTGACGTGCAGAGCTTTGTTGTGCATCCTCCCTTCAAAGGGCAGCTCTTCGTCACAAAAATTGATTCGGTGTCCTCGATGACCTGGTTTATCATGGCTGCTAAATTGTCACTGTTAGTACCCACAGCACATAAGTATCATCCAAAGCCCTCATCAGAGCCTGCCTATGCAACTGCGAACTCATCAATAAGGCCCACACAGAGATCTGAGCCGGCGTCTTCTCCAAATGCTTCACAATTGAATAATCTTTCGGCTGCATTTTTCTCCAGAACTCTTCGGCCTCAGCTTCACTGATCGGCCTTTTTGTTTGGTCCTTCTTCTACCCACCTTGGGCCAATTCTTCCGTGTGTAGCACCTGCCAGATCTGGTCATGCCTTGAGTAACAGCCGTTTCAATCACAAATTTTGGTCAGTAAGAGTTTCTCTCGGCACCAAGGCAACAACCTTCTCGGGTGTCAGAATCACAAACTCTTTCTTCTCTCTAATGCTCAACGAAGCTACAACCTTTTCCAGTTCATCAGGAGCAATCAGAACTATTGCCTTTGTCACGCACCATCATCATCTGTCTCTATCATATTGATAGTGACGCCTCCATGATTTGGCAAAGGATTACTATTGACATTGGGGGCGACTGTCTGAAGAGAGACCACATTCTGGTCAATCAGGTCTTAGGTTGATACAGTCCTCGTATCATGTCCAACACTGTTGGAGTGATACGCGCACCTCTGATCAGGTCTGTAAAACTTTGAGCTAGTGTCAACCGGCTTGGGCCCACTGGATGAATATATCCTGCTGCAGTTAATCGCTCGAACAGCTTTGTTCGGCTTTCAATAAGGGAGTGAAAATTCTAGCAGGCTTCTTCTCAAATCTAGGACGGGAGGGATCGTAATTGCCTTGTTGAGGGGGAGGCATTTGGCGATAATTTGGAGCATTCGGACGGGGGGCTTGAT